TTCCTCTTTCCCTATGCATAGAGTCTTGCCAACCTTTAACTCCCGCCTTTGCACAGTTTAAGTAGTTCATTATTTGTTCATGGATAATTATTATAGTAATGATAAAATTGAAGAATATTAGTAGTACTACAGCAAATACAAAGCGAAATTCCTCCCCAAATAAGGCAAAATTCCTCCCCCGGTTGGGAAAAGTTAGTTAATACCAAGGAGGATTTGACAATATTTAAGGCTCGTGCCGCCCTTCTAAAAACTTTGATCGGACAAAACATTCAGTATGGGATCGCGTGGGGAGTTCGCGAACACCACATCTATCAACAACGAAAAAAATAAAATTATACGAGGTAACAGCACGATAAAACCTATACGATACTCGTTACCTCAGACATCAAAAGCCAAAATACTAGTTCGTGGTTTCTTCTATGTTTAAACACGCACTGAAACGACTGGTAATGGTTCGTGTTTTCAATAAGCGATAGATACATCAGGTAGTGAGTGATTCATGACTGCGATGATATATGAGTGGGTACTAGTGAGTGGACATGCTGTCCGCTTCTCAATGTGATCCTTAAAATAACATCATTACGCTAATTCTAATTATTGCATCCAGATATTAGATACTCAATGGCCAACACTTACTTTCAAAAAAAACTCAAGACGTTGAGCTATGTGTCAGTTTTGTCATTCCAAGTAAAATACCATCTCAGAACCAATAATTCTTCAAATAGTAGATAAATAGAATCTTGCTCGAGAAAAATGTTGGTAAAGCATCCGGGTTATATATTTTTGAAAATGATTATATTAAAATATAAGATACTGAGGAATTTTTAAAATTCGGCAAAGGCCCTGGACTGTGTTTGAATTTTTTCGTTTTCTCAAATTTCTCGATATATTTCAACGTTATTTCGACTCGGTCCAAGAGAAGGTGAAATAAAATTTACGACCAGCTCACTTGATAGGCCACAATAAACTTTGATATTTACACGAAATGTTGTTGTTCTCATTAAAGTCGGGGTCAACCATGGCAAACAGCCCAATGATTAAACTAAAACATCTCATCCTACAAAATATTTAAAAAGAGAATAAACAAATTCCTGATCCTTAACCACGCAAGAGCTTACCTGGGTGAACCGGCTCAAAACTAGAACTACTATTTTACAGTTTTAAGTATAAGCTCGAAACTTGTCTGATTATGTTATTGTTAACCTCAACTAATTTCGCCAGTTCTAGACATTTGTTTTGCAACAACCTTTCAAATTTATATTTAAACACAATACTATTCGGCACGGACAATTTAGTAATCAGTCCACAATATTGAAATTCAATATGGTGGGGAGCACCAAAGGGAATAAAAATAGGCACAACATGCACAAAGTATTTTTCATGTCTCAAAGTCATGACAGTATAGTTCAACACTACTGTCAATGGAATGTCTTTTTTAATGAAATTTTATTCAGGCGCAATACTATGTGTAGAGGTCGATGACCCACCATAGAAAATAACAGCCCTATTATATTTGCTCAGCATGGCCAGCTGTGTATTGTCGAGAAAGTTAAAATGGCAACCGATGGGTCGTGGGATTATCAAAAGCTTATTCCCTACCAGGCGTGGCTGTAGAAGTAACAATATTTGTATCTCCAGGTCGTGATTGGCATGGCATAGCGAATAATAGGCAAAACTTCGAGTATAAGGTTAGTTCAAGTTTGGTCGATAAGTGCTGCTGCGCACATGCGTAATGATTTCAAAAGAGTTAAGGGTATTTTTGATATATAAATGTTTGTTTTAGTGGAAGCATATTACGAAAAAAGTGTGAAACATTGGGGTAAATTTATACAAATTACTAAATTAGCGAACAACTATTTAGCTTTAGAATAATCTGAAAGCTAGATATCGCGACTTTATTCAAAGATTCGGTAAACCTAAAGCACATCGTCGATTTATCTTGGAGCAAAACAAATACAAGACAGTTTAACAATGCCATTGATCTACCGCCTTTAAGATGAGCTACCTAAAACTCCCCCACCCACATAATCTAAAGAACAATTGTAGTAAGGTCTTACCAGAGGATAGGTGGTAATATAGGAGAAAGTAGAATCCAACCTATTTGGATATTTTGTTTCAATAGAATGTTATAAAAAGTAAGCTAAGTGTGTCTTTTTATATTCAGACGCCTCATGTATACGCTCTATAAATTACAATGGAGATCTTAAATTTGACTAATTGATAATAGCTCATAACAGTATTTAAACACGTTGTACATATGTAAAGTAGAAGTTTTTCTTGGCATATGGAATCACGGAAACATGAAAAGTTTCGTCACTAGGGAGACGATTAAACGCTCAAATATGTCTACACCACTCCCTTCGGGCTAGGTCATGTTCAAAACAAAGGTCTATAAAAGGCGTGGAACATTAGCTTGAAATTGGCCGTGTCTTCAAAGTAAAAATGATGAATTTTCTATGTTTGATATTAAAAACACGTGCTTCTACCTATTCAAAACATATAGATATTATGATGACCTAATTCAATGCGTAACAAAGTACACGCCTGCCAAGATATAAAAGCGTCTAAATATAACTTCGAGCTTATTTTAGGCAAAGCACTTAAATCTCTTAATCAAATCTCTAAGCGGAGTTTTTTAGTCATTTGTACTTAACAAATAAATTTATTTAAATGTAAACCGACTTCTGAAAAGAAGTAATTAAAAAAATGAACGTTTCACATAAAATTATTGAGCAAAATTAAATCGAAAAATATATGCAAGCAAAACTAGTATCGTACTCCTTTTAAAATTAAGGTTACAGTCTATAATTTCTGCCAAACTAGAGAGAGAGACCAACTAAGACCAAACTAGTCTGCCTGAAATGTATACACTTCGGACATAACTTTACATCATGACAATCGTCCCCTGGACTTACTCAGCATTTTGGCATGGTAATGCGTCTGATTAATTTTATCTTGATTACCTTGTTGTGACAGTGCAGTGTTGCTCTCCCTGAATCCACAATTTGTTCCACACAGCACAACTGAAGCCTTCAAATTTAGATGATAACGTAGTCTGCAAATGTTGATGGGTAAATGACCGGCCTATTTGAGAGCAAACTAACCGGCAAAAATCTGATGTTCTCCCTGACATCTGCTTTCACTTAGCAACTGTTCTTTCTATGTATTTGAGCGGGTTCTGAACTAAATTTGCAAAATTAACAAGCACTTAAAATAACACACATTCATCCTGACACTTTTATTTGCATAAATAATTCTACATCAAAATGTTCGCATGTGGTAAACTACCAGGTAATGTTACTATATCAGTTCAGCTTAGTAGAAATCTCTTTTCAAAGTACAGTAACGTAAATAGTATAACGCTAAACATTGTGGTATACAATCCGTTTCAACTTCCTGGGCCGACCTCACCGTTTTTTGACCACCAAACAACATTTTCGCTGTTCGCCGTCATCCGCGATTGTATTGTCTGGTCCATTGTGACCACATAAATCATTTTTATAGCAAATTATACAGTGGCTGTGTTTGATTAATGGACAATTATTACGCCATAGAACGAATTTCGAAGCGTTGTTTGTTTTCATATTGACCCATTTACAACAGGAAAATATACCGGTAGGGGCAAACGGATTTTCGCAAACAGCAGACTGAATCGTGCAATCAGTGATTAGGTAAGTAAAGTAAAATTATCATTCAAATATTTTCTATATACTACGACTGACGTTAAAACAGTCCTAGCATCTTATTATTTAGATGAATACTTGGATAGGTTGAAATTTCGAATTAGTCAATTGCTTTCACTAGAACAAGTAACTTTCCAATATTGCTTGCCTCTGGTGCAATAGGTTCCGATGTAGAAACAATTATTAGCGCTATATATATATATATATATATATATATACATGTCAATACCATGCGAAACATTCTGGTAATACAATGGTGATTCACAGGGTTAATTTTAATATAAACGAATAACAGTCCGATGTACAGTATTTGAAAGTTAAACATAAAATCAAGCCGCATTTCTTCACTGGTCCACCTATGCCTATATCGTATATTTCTTTGATAAATAGTCGAATGAATTGAATAATGAAAACCTTTTAGGGGGAGTGATGCGAATCGCCATTAAATGTATCATCTTGTATAAACATTGACTGACAGAATTGACCAATGATCTATTAGCAAAGTTGATGGAATTGTTGAATAATTTTTGCAACATGCTGCCAGAAAATACATTGAATATAATAGGAAATTTATGACAAATTAATTCAGACGAAATTGGGGCGCTTCAAAAATTAGATTTTGCGTAGTTTTATCACTTTTAATTTTACGTTAATAGTCGCTTTCTCGATTTAGTCAATTTTGGTTTTAATAAGTAAAAAGTGTTTATTTTTATATGCGGAAAAGTTAGGGTTACCATGTTTTTGTGACTTCAAATCGGGACGCCTCAAAAGACAACGACCCCGATTTTACTACATAGGCCTACATTTAAAGCTGTCTCTCCTGTATTTATTGACCATATTGTTATCGAAATTTCATACGCATATTCTCTGTCCAAATATCGGGTTGAGTTCGAAAAATAGGAAGGAATTGACGTTTACGATACCGGTACAAATAATTCGAATTTAGACTAATTAGTATTGGTTTTACATGCGATACGTCTGCCATCAATGGGAATCAGTGGGAAACGAACGCATTCACCTTCAGGCTAGCGCTGCGCTACACAGAAACAACAGTAACGAAAACATATTTGTGTATTAGGTTGGAAAAGCGGGACTTTTGGCTGCGTTATCGGGACGGCGGGACAAAACGCTGAAAAGCGGGACGTATGGTAAGCCTAGGAAAAGTGAGTAAATTTTGCCATAATGCCGAGGTAATCAGTTGCTTTGATACAGCACTGCATATATTTTATGTTCAATTCTACCCATGTTATTCTGTTGTTTAAAATATTCATTTTTGTACCTGAACCTTTCCAAGATAGATTAAAACAATTCAACCAATTAAAACATTCAAAATGAAAAATATCATTTTTAATAAAATAAGAGATGTTTCAAATAATATATCAAATAATATCGCTCGACCAAAAGATTCCAACCCTGTCGGTTTGAAGACATATACAAGAATGCACACATTGGCAAAACAACATTCGTATATGATATTCAACTTTGATAAAGAATAAAATATACGTCATACGTACAATTTTTTTGCACTAGTTATTTTGGTATCAATCAATGTAATATGAATTGATATAGAATATTCAACATAATATAGAGAGAAAAATTGCGTGGCATTATATCTTTTTTAATATGTGCTTTAAGCACAAAACTCCTTTTGTCGCATACTTATAATTTGAGTTGCGTCTAATAAGAGTTGAATCCCAGCGGCAGAATAAGTATAGAAATAAACAAATGTCATTATGTAATGTATCTTTTTCAAAGTTTGGGAAAGGGATTTGGATATTCCGAATTTCTCATAATGTATCAATAAATAACATTTAGATATTGTATATCTTATTTCCACTCGGTTAAATTATTCATGTCTATTATATTTTACTTTCACGACCCAACAAAACGTAATAATTATAAAGATTCAGATTGTATTGTGAATAGACTCATAGTTCTAGTTTCTGATAGACTGTATTTGGTTTATATTAAAATTTTCAGTTCTTTTTTTCTCCACTTGGTGGACATCGAGTTATCTTTGCTTTGAGCTTATTGTATTTTATTCTTTGCTAAGAAGGCTTCATTTCAATAATTTCAAACCCAGTCAGTAATATCTCTTGGCTCTTTGCTACCCCACAAAATAAATCTCGATATTTCCCCATACGTTGTATTCAATATTGCTAGTTCTCGTAATGATCGTTCAGGTGTTCCATCTAATGCTCTCATGAACCTATAACATAAAAAATATATTGTACGTGAATATAATATGACATATTTTTTCCATAGCTTTGGGAATGTTCTGCCATTTTTATATCTAACTGGGCCATTCTTTGCTCCCATTTTCTCTGTCGTATGTTATCAAATTATTTCAAATACAAATAGTTTATTTATGTCTTCAAATAAATCTGTAACCATCGCCAGTTAGATATTTTGCTGTCCCTCCAGTAAATACTGTCTAACTCTAACCTGTAAAATATATATTTTCACTTTTTAATGTTACATATAATAATCTTTCTTACCTTGAGTATAAATGCATAGCATAATTATGGGACCAGTCCCATAATTCGTGATAAATATATTTTATTTCCTCCCAGTTCGGTCGCAGTAACGTCTCTTTGACGATGTGTATTGTGTTTGGGAATATCATCCACAGTGACCAAGGGACAAAGCATGAACTATGGCTCCATCTAGCGGGAAAAATTAAAGCATATTTAATTGTAGATAAAAATTTCTGTCAAAATAAAGTTTAGTAAATGGGATAAAAGATGTGTTAGCCTGTTGTTAAGGTTGTATTTGGAGTAAATTTAAATTTAATATTCTTCGCTTATCAAATTCTACATTATTATGATATTCACTGTATTTGAGAAAACTTTCGAAATCGGCAGTTGACCACCCAAGTTAAGGCGTGGTTTTATTACAAAATCCTCAACATTATATTTCTTAATTTCAAGTTTTACTTTTTCTATATAGTATCTAACGACTTGTTTGAACCCTGATACGTATAAATTATTACACGATAACAGAATATGAGAAAACGAAATTGAGGTATTGTTACCGAAAAATTAAAATAAGACCATGTGAACCAGAAAATGTTACCATTTTTACATTCCGAATGTACATTGTTACCTTTTTTACATTTTCACACATTCTGAATGTGAAAAACGATAACATTTGTGGGCCCACCCTGTGTATGGTCTCATTTTAATTTTTCTGAATTTGAAAAATGGTAACATTTTGGCCCACCCTTCATATATTATGTGACCGGTTTTCAACTGTTGTTACAGATAAAAAAAAATAATATACTCACTTCGATCCATTGAAAGTCTGATACTCTTGATACCATCTTCGCAAAAACCATGAATTTCGATTCGATAATACCATGCTGTTTGCTGTAGAATGCGAAGATTGAATTAGTGATAATATTATCACAAATAATATAAACTAACTAAAAGCTTAATTAATCATATGCGGCAAATGTTGTCATGTCGATCGGAGAACGTAGTAAGCCGATGTTTCGTTTATTATTTGAATAATGTATACTTTTTTGTTAATTTATCCCATGTACACCACCTAACCCATGGTCTAATTGTCTAGGCGATTAGGGAATATTCCGACCTTCCTGAAAAACGAGTATTTCCCTACATACTTTTAGATATCAGTGGTTGGCATAATTAATATAATCGCAATATGCTTTTCTCGTTTCTTGGTTAGCTAAACTGCATGAGTACCTTGAAACATTCATCCACATACTATTATTAAACATCATTAATTTAATTAACATCATTAAACATCAACTATTTGTTTAGGTTTACGCAAACTATCTTTACTTGCTCTGTGCCTTTGCGGAAGTGGATCCGTATGCGTGTAAAGCAACGATGCTGTGGCAGGAATAAAGATGATTATACTATGACATACTAACACAAGTGTATTTCTATAACCTTTCGTCTGCCTGACTTCAGGCAAGAATTTTTCAACTATGATAAGAAACGTGATAGCATGCACATAAATAATGATTATCAATTATTGGGTCCGTATTCAATAGAGAAAGAGGCTTGAATCTAATAGTATATTAATTAAGCCCACTTCTGTTCCTTACTGATGCGAAAATAAATATACTCACAACTTACCAAGTGCATCGTAGTTTTCTTCTCCGAGAACCATGCTGTTGTTTCTGAGTGGGTTCAGTGACTTTAATATGATCATATCATCGTCCATGTATATTCCTCCAACCTCAAGAAGAATTTGTAATCTGGCGACATCCGATTGATGTTCCACTCTCTGCAACGTTAATGTGTTTAATAAGGTATTATACATGGGTAAAAGACAAAAATACTATTTATTTAAACACTTGACACTGGAAATTATAAAGCCTAATAAGCAAAAGTGACAGTGGGTTCTCGTAGCTCGTGTTGAAGAACGAAATACTAAAAAAAATCGAGAAAGTCGTTGCATTCGTATTCAAAATTTCCATTTTCACTCATAACAAGGATTTTTACGAGAAGCCACCTCTAGGCAAGAAGCTACCATATTTGAAGGGACTGGAAGGGATCTTTCTCTCGTACACTCTGGTTGACATGCTGTGCATGTGAATTCAATCCGAGATAATATTGAAAGTCAGTCAAAAAATACAGTAGAGCAAATTACTTAAACTTGTTTATTAACCAGCAATAAGTTAAAAGATAAATGAAGGGGAAGAAGAATTGTACATGCGCATCACAAGTAAGAGCCATTTATATTAAAATTGTAGATTGATCGTGCTTTTACAAATATGTAAATTATTTAAAAAAATATGTGTAAATTTATGTAAAAATTTAAAATTAAACGACTTTAGATGAAACAAAATTATCCACTAAAATATAAACTAACTGTAACGTTGTGATTCCAGATTCTATTGGGAGGAGTTCGTTTCACTATCTTCAGTTTTGTACCCGCTTCAGAGACAAATTCTTCCCAGTATGGGCCGCTAGGAGCGCAGTTTGTGTGAAGTAAAATCAGTCTTGGTTTTTGCACTTTTATTGCGCTTTTCATACTTTGAATGCAAAGGAAATTGAATAATTCAAAAAACAATTATTAATAGGTATTGTACAAGGCTATCTATGAGTCAAAATTAAAATACGTCATACATTATACAGTATATTTATTGATATATTTCCCTGTAATACCATATTTACCATCCAAATGTACAAAATCATATTTTTTTCTAAGTGTGCATGATGCCGATGTTAAGTCATAACTATACAGGGTGTCCATGAATTAAAAAAAAAATTGAAATTGCAAAGGGAATATATGATACCATATATAGATGTTTGTCCCCTACAAGTATATTAGATAAGTAAAAATTGAATAAACACCGAGTGAAATAAAACCAATCTGGTAAAGGTATATTGAGAACTGACCTTACAACAAAATCGAAATTTTAAAGGTACTTTTCAAATATCATGTACTACAATGTGTCCAGTTTTAAAACCTAATATGTTTTCTAATCGTTTGCATGATGTAGATGTTATGATATAACTATACTATATGTTCGTGTTTATTACAAGTCTTCCTACCTTAAAAAGTGGTGTACTCTGTATCTATGGCAAGAAAACCAGATAAAATGTATGATATTCGGGATTTCTTTGGGATTATTTTGCATTTCATCTCTCACTTCTGGAATCTGAAAATAAAATTTGTTTCTAAAAGTTCTTCAACGAAATTACTTTTTTTAATGTTAGTGAGTTTAGTAATTGTTATTGCCTCCTTCGTAAAAAATGGGTTTTTAATATATCTGATCATATTATTTAAAATAATTAATATAAACAGAATCTAATTTGGAATCACAAAACTAAAATAAATTTAAATCATAGATTCATCGTAAGTTTCATACCTTATGTAGAAAACGTGATAATGGATATGGAAAATGTAATAATTAGTTTTATTTAAATTGTCCGAATTACTGCAGCATTCCATTGTCATAACACAATTCAAACTACCTGGAAAATATCGTCATCTCCATTAGCCATTCTCCTCTTTTTCTCAATAAGTAAATCAAGTTCGATTTTCTCTGTTTGAACGTTCATTGACAGATCTGTTATCAGTGATCTTGGGTTAGGTCGCAGAAGTGCAGGCTAAAGTAAACAAAAGTATATTGAAATGAAAGTAAACAAAAGTATATTAAAATATAAGAGATAGTGAAAAATAATACTTTAGTTTATTGATATTATGCTTGTTTCGTCTGAAATTTCGAAAAAATCAACACCAGAATAGGTAGAAGGTGAAAACATAGGCTAAATATATATATTTGCAGGATTTTTCAATTAGGTTAGATTCCACACATTTTGAAGTGGCTTACCCCATAAGGCATCAACGTCGGTGGAACGTCTCCTTTCTGGAATGGATTCGCGTACATTCTTATATATTCCTGAGGTTTCCACCTCTTGTACTCTTCAACGGTCATTATTCTCGTTATATTGATGGTCTGTAAAAATGGAAACATATGGGAAATTGAAAAATAGATGAAAATAGATAAAACTTGAAGTTTTGATTTAACGAAATTTGTCAAATAACGTTTACCTTTCCCATTCTGTCTTTGGACGGGTCTACCACGACAACTCTAACTTTTCCAAAATCAAAATCTGGACGTTTTGTTGTTCCACCGTCCTGTTCTTTGATCATTGCTTCAAATTCTTGTGGACTCATGAATGTCAGTCCACTCTTCTTCGACCTATAATATTTGAATTCATGTATACTGAAGACGAATACATAATTTTACGATCAGCTACAAAGAGTTCTAACTTTATCGCCATAACATTTAGTGCAGAGAGGATTTTCTATTTCTCTAAGGCTCGAGTAGATAAAGTTGTCATTTAAAAAATATTAACAATCACGCTCAACCCACGCATGTACACCCCATCCTATTTAAGAATAGCAGACTTCCTCTTAAAATACCAGATTCAATTAAGTAATTTTTCTAAATAGTATGTGTTGATTTAAACAGAAAAGACTATGTGTATTTGATGTTTGTTTACTTCATACAAACCACATTTTCTGGCTATTCAAAAATTATTCGGCCTGAAACATCATCATTTACACAGAGAGTAATTTTCGTGTATGAAGGATTTCTACACACGGAAAGAGTTTGAGATTTAAAACAGGCAATGTCTGCCTTCTCACTGGCTATAAATTATGGATTCTAGATAACACAATGGCGTAATGCTTGTTTATTTTTGTATTCCTTCTCTTCCTGCACCCGGAAATATATATTAGGTTTTAAATGGTTTTGTTCATTCCCAGCTAAACTCCGAGTGTAGTATTAAATACTACGTAAACATTCTGACTTGATTTGATAAAAGGTCTTTGTCGCGGTGCACAATTTTTATGATTAACGAGTCAATAGTGAACATTTTGTTTCAAATTTAAAGACTGTATATAAACGCAAACGTCTATGCTACCTATGATAAATAAAGCTTGACGGTTAAATACAAAATATAATTATCGGAAGAAATGAACTACCTTTCTTTTTCTTTCTTACTTTCCTCTTCGTTATTTTCAAAGTCTCTTCTCACTTTATTTCTGCTCACATCTTTTCTTTCCTGACCTGCAACAACAAAACTCTCGTTCAATTGAAATTGTAGGAAGATATTTATTATCAATTCCAACTTGTGCAAAACAAACAATGAAATTTAGAAAAATTTAGGATATCTTGTGCAAAATGAATAATAAAATTTACGAAAAAATATGATGAAGCTTAGATAAGAGATTTCGACTCTTTGGAGAAATGTGGTAACATAGACTAGTACTCAATTATAATAAAAATGATTTTAATGATTAATAAATTGCAATTCTTGAGTCAATTGAACAGGCACCACATGCTTGCTGCTTCATCACGACTGCATGCGATTGCAAGAAACGCGACGTATGGGTGTCAGGTATGAATTCGAAACGTTGTCGATGGGAATCTCTACAAACCACAAAGAGTACGCAAAAATTGAAGTAGGGCCTATGTAAAACCTACATAAACTTAAAACTAGAACAATTTAATGTAAATTGTTGAAAGCAGTATACTGCGCTTATATTATCAATAAACACCTTGGTCGTTTTGCTGATCGTTTCCATTTACTTCGTTTTGATTTTCATTCCCCCTGATTGTTTGCTCTGCATTGTCTGAGTTTTCGAGTGCTTTGTTACCATCTGCCACATCTTGGCTGTTATCGAGAGAATTTTGCAGTTGTGAACTTACGACATTTTGCTGCTCTAATTTAGCAATATTTTCTTTTAGATTAAGTTTCTCCAGATGTGAATTAGATAGTATATTTTTATTGTCACCGAAATTTGGATCGTTTTGAGAATTTTCCAATCCAGGGCCGTCTAAACTTGCATGTCCAGGGTTGTGTTCTTCAAGTAGTATTTTGCCATTTTTGTCAACAATATTTTCACGTATATTGTTTTTTTCTAGATGATAATTCATTTCATTCTGATTGGAGTCAATTTCTTGATCTTTTATCTCGACCTCATGCAGTACATTAGGTAATCTTTGGGAATCGTCCAATCCTGGGCCATCTAAACTCGCATGTCCAACGTTGTATTCAGGAGGCAATGGTTTGTCATTTGAATTCGCCTCCGACTCGACCATTGAATTTAAATCAGAATCACTTAATTTAGCGTCTCCTAGGCTGGCCTGTCCAATAAATTGGTTTTGTGGTTGATTTCCGTCATATCCGATGTTAGATTCTAAATTTACCATTCCCGTGTCTACTTTTTGCGGTTCCGCAATATTCAGCATTAATTTTAATTTTGTTATTCGCCCATCATTTCCTTCATATTTTTTTATGAAATTCTTTATCTTGATAAGTTCGTGTTGATTAATGCCAGATTGCCAATTTAAGGGTAGGTTAGGATCAGCAGCAGCCGGGCCCTCTTGACTTAAAGGCCATTTAGCGTCCTCTTTAGGTTGGTCTAATAAGGATTGGATTGGGACATCCAAACCAGTGCCATCATTTTGCACCGGTTGCATGGGTTGCATAACATTATTGACATTTTGTACGTTTAAACTGGGATTACTATTAAATTGTTGTCCCATAAGAGCTAATAGATTCGGATTAGGATTGCCTTGTTTTTTTGCTAGTATTTCCAAAATCATAGCGTTAGGGTCTATATTTCTCCCTGCGCCCTGTTGACCTGCATTTCCCCCTCCGTTTATAAGCTTGTCTTCTAGCATTTGATAGATTTTATTATCACCTTTGGGGTTTAATTTCTGCACAAGACGTTGCAACATCAAAGATTTGGGGTCTGATCCCACAAGGGGGTTTAAATTGGGGTCCTGATCATTCAGACCAGGAATTCTTTTGGGGTCATAAAAAGGCGGCCCGTCTCGTATATCTGGTAAAGCTCCCAATTTTTTCTGGTCATCAAACATCCTCTTTGCAAAGTTTTCTGCAAGTTTGTTATTGCTTAATTTTGATTGCAGTAACTCGGTTTTATATTTTGCAAACAGACGTTGCATAGCAGCTTGTGCCACTTTGTCTCCTCGTGAAAGTGCATCTTTTCCACCCGGTACCTGAGCAATTATTGTTTCCATCACATTCTGCGGTACTTTGTTGATACCGGAAAAAAAGTTGGGTTCAATTTCTAGAAAAATAAGTAAAATATTTTAAAAGATTGAAATTTAATAATTTATTTCTGCGAGATATCAGTAAAACTGAAGTTACTATTTCTGGATGGCTTTTTATTTAAAATTCTTAGCTGTATATTTCGAAAATACAAAAACCACCGTAAATTTACAATAAGGAATTTAAAGCTTTTAAGGGGGTAATTGACTGATATTTAAATGATTTGATCAAGGATAACAATACTTGTAAGCTACTAGCCTACTTTATATTTCATATTGTGACATATATACAACATTGACACAGACCAATTCTGGTTGAAAGTTAGTGAACAATTAGGAGTCTTTACAATTAGGTCATTATGAACATTAAACAACGTCTCTCAAATGGGCTATGCCAAATTGTTACTAATTCAGATATCTTTCAGGAACCAATGACCTCAAAATTGAACAGATATTTCAAAGATAAATGACATAGAAAAACAAAAACTACACTTACGCTTTGCCTTCATTTTTCTTCGTTCATTTTCGTGCATCTTTTCCGCCATTGACAACGCTAATTTATCCGCTTTTTCTTGATCCGACATTGAAATATCATTTTCTTTCTTTATTTCATATCTGTTGATTTCCATTGTCATTTCTTTAGTATCATCTTTCAGTATGTATATCACAAGATACAATGTAACTCCCACAATTAAAATTTGACTCAGATGATTCTTAACCTGCCTAATTCGCATTATGAAAGGTTTACTTTAAATGCATAGATAAAAGTATGATACTTTTGTTAACATGAGATTCCAGTACAATTTAAAGTTTTGACTTCTGTTCGCACAGAATCTATAATGTAGATGCTCCCAGTTAATGTAATCGAAATTCTCACCATATCCAAGAACCTTTTTCTATCGGAACGGTAGCCCAAAAAGGGCGCAATTTTTAAGCACCCAAATTACATGTATAAAGTTACATTTATACCCAAAATATTCAATTGTTTTTTATCTTAACTACTATTCCAGAGGAAGACAGTCAACATAACAGTAAAATGTCAAGGCTTACTTTCGAATATACTAGTTGAGTTGATGCACAAGTACAGTCACTTGATCCAACACTACTTACTCTTTATTTCTTAATCCTTGAATATTTAATCACTTCAAAATCATGTGAATTGGTTTGAAATATTGATGAGAATTCCATTATCGAGAAACTTTCATCAAACATTGGCATCTATCTACATGCAACACGCTGTGTATGTTTGGAATATATCGTGCCGATTTTGCACTTGAGTAAGGCCTAAAGGGAAGTCGTTTTGCATAATTCATCTTGTGAAACTACACACAGCATCGCTGCTTGTTTCGCACGTAGATTGTATGTTAAAGGTGTATTTGACTCGCAATGTGAAGTGAATCTAAAACTAAGAGTATTGATGGTACTCCCGTAGTGTGTGTATCAGGTTAGGGCTAGGGCATAATTTCATTCCGATTTCCTTATTTAAGTTTTTTACGAGTTAGGGGACTGTCTGAGTTAGCCAAGTGAATATACCTCCTGTCCATAAGTTTCAGTCCCTTTACACACCTGGATGGGAAGTAAGCGAACAAAATTAGTTACCCCCACATTGGTGTACGCATACTTCTGGAGCGCCGTATTGATTGCATAAGCTCTTTTTATACTGATTATATTCGGTTATTGATACCAATATGCCAGGGTAGTTCTACTATTTACGAAGTGACTAACAAGATAACCTACCTTTGTTTGCAGTACAGAAGATTAGAACTAAAATAAATCTACCTAGGCCTGCTTTTTGAATCACAACACAACCAAACCTCACATGCGTAAACAACCCTTTTTACAGTGTTGGTCAGTACAATGCAGAATAAAGTAAAACTGGGGACTTGGATATCCCACAGTTGTGAGATGAAAGACCAATCTAGATCCAAATATGCATGTATTAATATGATGGCGCACATGCCATGATTTCTATTTCCATTTTGAACTTATTTAGAGGCTGATTGATAAAGCAACTCCAACTTAATAATAAAGTAAATCTCGGTCGCTTCATTTCTTATAACACAACAGTGATCGGATAAACTCGTCCACCTATATATTTTCATTCTGAGTTAAAGGACCTTAATTACCACAATCAAATTCTCATGTAAATAAAATAAAATCAACGTTCCCCAATCAAGACCATTCAGAAACGTTGCTTTCAATCATTTGAACCTCCAAAAGTCTTATTTATCTCATCTCGGTTGTTTTCACGCGGTACCTACTCGACTACACCTTGGAATACAGCTACAATAAGTATATTTAAAATATTAGGCGTTTAATAATATATATTCAATCGCTTATCAAGCCTTGCCCACTGATTACTGAGATATTAGAATGGTAAATTCTATCTACGGGAGGCTTTAAAGGCTGACTAGAAGCAGTCGTAATATTGCGGGAAAGCGTCATTTTAATAACGCCCTAGGCGATATTTAGCTAAATTAACATACATAGATACAGACATATCATATTCAAAGCAACGCAGGTACCTATCACGGATTTCTTTGATAACGGATAAAGCTATTAAATTACTAATCGTCGCTTGAGGTCGTTAGCTACAAGATAATACCACCGTCGACTGAAGTGAAAGGGAAGGATTATGGGTCACATAAATATCATCTATATATCTCACCCATCTGTATATATTTGTCTTTTTACATTTACCTATAAGTAACATGCGTCGTCAACTTGGGGATTTTTCGCATTTGAATAGCATAGCGGGCCTGAAAACCTGGGTTTCTATATGTTTATATTCTTTCATCAACCTCCTGCGATAGTATAAATAAATTTCAAATTTGGCGGGTAAAAATCTTGATGGTAACCATACACCATTTATCGAATATTCGTTTAAATATTCATCCTATCTAGAAATCTTTTGCCTGTGCACGATTCATCATCTTTTCATGGAGGCTTTGAACTTTGAACTATGCATTTCAAGTCGAAAGTTGGTTTAATAATACTTCGAATCGCATGTTACATAACATGTAACACATGTAACACTGTTTCTTTCAAGGTAACGACTATGGATGCACACTTGTACGTGGAAAAATCAATTTTGGAAAACGTAAGGTACTTGTATATCTTTGCCAATTGTTGTTGTTGGACATAAATCGCGATTTGGTTATCTAGTCGGCCAAGCGGTTCAAATTTTTCAGAATTAATAAATTCATTTGTCATAGGAAGCACATTTAAAAAAAATACAAGTAAAGTCTTGGAATTGTTGGTCAAATTTTGTCAAATTCATCAAAACTTTAGCCAACATGTGGGTTTGGTTATACCGCAATACAGCAGTCTCTTACTCAAAATATGTCATGGGCGACCTTTTGAACTTTATTGATGACGCGGGCCGCAAATCAACAAATTAGGTACAAAATTGATAAACAAGACATAACAAAAGAAATTTGAATCGATTCGTTGAAATCACACTTGAATTTTATACCATAAACGGTAAATGAAACATGGTTTTGTAGTGGAGAAAACCTCGATGTTTTGCGATGCTTCAAAAGGTCACCCGTTAGTCATGTGCCGAAGGCTGACTGACATGCTAACTTCCATAGTCATTGCTACTGTGTAAATTCACAAATGCCAAGAGTTGTCCAAAAATTCATATATTGAATGAACGAATCTAGAGTTATATACTGCGAATGTCCAAGGAGACGTATCCGCTATCTGGTGCTATTGAGTAAGTATGACTATCAAAATCCTGCGAGGAAAGTTCATCACTTCTTACTGAGACGGTGTCAAAACTGATGAAACTCCGAATTGAGGGTTCACGAATGGTATCCGAGCTACGTGGAGGATAGATATCACTTGACATTGGGGACACACTGCGTGAGGAAATAGTGTAGACACTTTCATATGAGGCTGTCTAAAAACTGAGGCTGGATCCCGAATCGCTATTATTCCCATCCGTTGTCGCAGATTTTATTGGTTGATATAAACTAACGTTTGACGATGAAGGACTTGAGAGAGCATGCCGCTGTTGTGTATTTAACAGAGGCGAAAATGCCACTAGATCACGTCCATGCAGATTAGATTCTCCCGCACTTTGTTCTTGTGAAACGTTCCTTCTTTGAATAATATTTCTTTGGGAGATCCCGCGTGCTTCAGGTCTGGTTATTAATTTTCAAATGTATAAACATGCACGTTTAATTTTGTTTACAATCGAAAAAAGGGAAGAATATGTGATAAAGTTCCAAATCCAATTGACAGGAACCAGCACGTATGAGAATTTGTACAAATAGTTGAGTTTGAAGACAGGGCCAATGATATTGAATCCACCGATTATAATACCGATTCCATACCACAAAATCACCAACACAAAATTTTTTCATTCCGAATTTGCACTGTAACAAAAATACACTTCAACACATTTTAATTTAGTCACATCAATTATAGTAAGTTCACATTAATTTGGAATTTTATTCCAATAACCTCACATCACCTGAGTGTGACTTGTTGAGTATAATTACGCTCAGATGGATATGATAGCATGAATAGAATATACTAGATGGAACAATACACATGGTAAGCATAGGTATTATTATACCATTTGTGGAATTAAATAAATAAACTTTCAAAACGGTCTCTTTGTCTACGTTTGTACGCGGACGGGCGTGAATGTGTGTTTACATTTCAGTAATTATGACGACAGTGAGTACGATTACAACATGACATTTATATATATATACTTGAAAATACGAGTTCATATTCAAAAATCGAATATAAGCAACAACCGAAATTACGTATTAGTAATATTTAAAAAATCATTGTAGGGGTAGCGTATACATTTGAAATATGCAGCAAAAAATTACATAATTATTGTACACTCAGTCGTTGCAAAATGCTGTCACAAGTAGCGGATTCCCAATTTGCCAATGCTTTTGCCTTTGTGATGTGAGTATCAGGGAAAACGCTCAAACCAAAGTAGCAAGTTTGCCTGCAGATAATTTCGTCGATACTGAAAGCTTAGGCTGAAAGGTGAGATATAGAATAAAATGTAAATCAGATTCGCATTCAGATATTTTATCTATTCTTAATCTTAAAGTATTAACGAATATTTAATGAATGATTTTTACAAGTGAAATACCTGGCTCCATGATAAATTCGTAGGTTTAAGTTAACTTGTTCGCCCAAATCTCATTGTGCGTGTGTTGCATGAGTCAAATCAATGCTATATTAATATGTACTTATTCTATGCCCACACTTGGTCGTCATTCGCTAGTCTCTTATTTTTATTTTTTCTGCCCCTTTTTGCTAGAATTACGAATGATAGTATTCCATATACTAATTAGGCCATGTAATATGTTAGTCAAGAATCATGTACCCGCCAAGTAAGCAACTAAAATATAAAATACACGAGAGCAATGCTCAAATATATCGACTTGAAAGCCAAAACGAAGTATTTTTTTTACAGTTTTGTAGTTTGACCATCAGATCGCTGAGACCTAATTACGGAACCACGGCACGGTCCGTAATTTTTTAATTTTGATGACGTCATAACAGAGAAATTTGAAGAAAAAAAACATAGAGTCCACTGATCCATGCTCGGTATTTAAAAGCAAATATTTAAAGCAAGTATTTAAAGTTAAACTACTGGTCTACACACAGCCGACACTTGTCTGTTTTGTCTGTTCAATAGGAGATTCGATATTCGATACTCTGTTTATATCCAAGCAAGTGCAGAATCTGGGTATTGAAACTCAACGGTGTTTTTATGCTTTACATTTATTGCGAGAATAAAACAAACATACTGCAAATAAATACAATAAAACTAAAGTTGACACAAATAATATAGCCTATTTTAGTACAACATTGGAAATAAAAAGCGATAG